AGACCTGGTTTCACATAACAAGGCAGCCTTCTGCCTTTTGAGGTATGGGAGACACAAACTCCAGCCTTCCACACTTGAAATGGACAGACTGGCCACTGATTTGGGATTGAATTTCTTATTAGTATAGTAATTGGCGGACTCATTCTACAAGTTTATCTTTCAAGAAATAAAGGCAATAAACGACCAGTAGGTGAGGCAGCAGATGAGACAGGCTATAAGTATATACTGTGAGGAATACTGGTAGAATTTTGAAAATTACAGGACCTTGATATTTATTGCCTCTATATTTGCCACTTGCCTGCCTATCCTAATCTCTAGCCCCCTTGCCCCCTGATTTTATTAAGGAATATTGTCCCAATTTATGAACCGTTAGAAAATAAACTCTCTATAATGAGCAGACTGGATATTTCTGCACCAGAAAATTGTGGTTCTTTGACTATATCAGTGTAGCTTAAGTAGTACAACTCCCCTAGGGTAAAGACAATTATACCAGTGTAAAAGTGCATATCCAAATATAGCTGAGTCCCGAATGGGAAGGTACCTTTGTACCAGTAATAACTAGGTCCACAGTAAGGGACAGATTTAATTCCTTACCTTTAGAAACCTGAGGTGACAAAACTGGGAATATAGCTATTTTATAATTTATGTATATTCCTAGGGGACAGATAAAACCTTCACAGGTGGAGTTGGCCCACTTGAGGTCTGATTTACTGGCCAGTGGTACCTGTCTCTGTTCACTGTTCAGAAAACTTCACTTAACTAAAGGCACTCACCTAAAGTTTCTAAATTAAGTAAAAGGATTTTCGTCACAGGATTTTGTCAAATGGTTGGGGAAATTAAACTGTTAGTAACAGTGTTGGATGGTTTGAATGCAGCACTGCACAAATTTTAGCAAATCCCAACCCTATTTTGCAACTTGGGAAAGTTCAGTGAATTTTTTTTTTTTTTTTTTGAGTAATTTTAACAGGTCTTTTGAACTCGTGAAATAGATGAAGCAAGATTTTCTTTGTCTTGAGCAGCAATAACTCTGACAGATTTTTGATTCTCAAGATAACTAGGAGATTTAAAACACAAAGACTCTCCTGCCACAAAGATGCACTGCTGCTATGTGCTGAAACTAGGTTTTAAACTTCTGGAGGAATGGTTGTAGACATAGCTCTCTTAGAAATTCTTTCCTACTTCTTTGTCTGCAATGGCCAGTTACCAGATTTTGACATTGATGTAGCTGACTGGAGCACAGGGATACTTCCAGCCCACATCTGTCATGCACAATAGTAGTGACAAGCTCTGCCCTATATCTTCCTTATTTGCCTCTTATCTTGGAAGTGATATGCTATCTGGATGAAAGAACATTCTGTTGCTGTTCCTGAGCTTCCATTTTTCTCACTTAGCCTAGTCCTGGGCATCAATATCCACCTGAGCTATGCAAGAATAGAAAACCCGATTGCTCATTAAGGAGAAGCTACTTCTAACTCCTCCAATCCAAGTTATTCTACTATGTCAGAGAGAAATCCTATATATTGTTAAAGTATTTCTAAAGGAAGCAGGTTTATTTTAAAAGAAGAATTGTTTTCCACAGTGAGGAAGATCATAATACTGCTTGTGATATTGCTCTACGCAAGAAAAGGTGACAAGATCTGGCTATTGCATCATGAACTATCAAACGCCAGAATGGCACTGTTGAATGCATATTTCCAAGGTGATATTTCCTAGCTGATAAGGTCTAAAGAAAAACCTCACTTTTCAGAGTGGTTTTTTTCCCTGCAATACTTATTCCTTGCTTTGCTAAAGGAATAGAGGTGCGAAAGCCAAGATTCAGGTACGTGATTTAGTTTGAAGTTTGGAGAAAAATGTCATTTAAAAAAGGCTGCTCTTTCTTTAATATTTGGTTCTGTAAAGCCCTTTCATGTCGAGTAGTAATTTATTCTAGAAATGGCACCATTAAATTCGCTGCCAGGAACAGTGTTAGATGCTGACCTTTAAATTTCTTTAGTTCAAGATGGATTATTTAGTTGTGTTTATATCAGCAGGGCATGAACAGAGTCCTTTTTTGTAAATGACTACTGGTTACTTTTCACCCTAAAAAAACAGTAATGGAAGCTGTGTCCAGATTTAAGTCAAAGCAAACTTCCAAATCTCTATATATCTATACTACTGTGCCTTTTTTCCTCCCAACACAATGTGTGACTGGGAGAGTATCCATGCACTCAGACATTATGAGCTGAGTTGTTATCTAATGAATAATACAAAACCAATCAGCTCAACTTATGTCCTCTTTGTTTTTTTCCCAAGAAGTTCAGAAAGGTAGGACAACTTCAATTTTTTTTTTTTTAATGGGTTTATTTTCAGCTGTCCTGAAAGCATATAGCAAAGAAAGGGGGTCTTGTTCCCATTAGGCCTCCTAAGTATTTTGGAGCACTACCTGCAAAAAAGCTCTGAAGATTGCAGGGCAGACATGAGTAGCTTATCTTATGTAACTTTTGTGCAAATATTTTGTGGAGCTGTAATTAATTATTCATGTGCTGTAATAGTGAGTTTAAACATCTCTATATTTGAAAATAAATATTGTAAAAGTCTATTAAAGCATACTGTCAAGCTGATGGTAACCATAAAAGAAATATATGTACAAGTATTATTAAAGAACCCCAAATCAGTGTTATCACAGGTGCTGCTCAGTCTCAAGCATCAGTTAATGATGTGTATGGTACAGAAACAAATATTCCATGTAACCTTTGAGAACAAAATGTTGAATGTAAGTATCTTGCAAGCCGATGTGTTTCTACTTGATGTTCAGCTTGCTTGCAGTGACTGTTAAAACATTTTTTCCTTTACAGATTAATCTGTGGTGAGATCAGACATATTTTAAAAATGTTATTCTTGTTTGCTTTATCCTATCACTTAACAGATTTATTCTATGGCTGGTGAGCATACCTACACAGCACTTTTCTAATGTTAGGTGCACCAGAGAGAAACCATTATTCTAGAGTGTACAGACATGCACAGACAAAATGGTATAGTAGTGCTGTCCTAGTAGAGATGGTATGTAGTGCTGTCATCAGAACTTGACTCAGCTGGGTATTTCTGCTATGGTTTTTTTTAATTTACCTTTTACTAGTAGTTCACATATCTTTAGTGATTTGGGACTACATTCTTATTTTTCACTAAAATTCCATGCTTGCTCTGGTTGTTCGGTTATAGCTGATACTCTCAGGTTTCCAAGGTGCTGGATATCCTTGTACGTGTATTTTCTAACAACTTGTGCATTAGACAGAAGACCATGATTTCACGGCTCACAGGCATACATGTCTAAAATAATATAGTAGGTTGTGAACTGTGAATAGGTGTGTAGTGGTGTCAGCATATGGTCATGATTCAGTCATCTGAGGATTTTCTTAGTAGTCTCCTTTAATTAATTAATTTATTCCTATTTCTTGCACTTGGATGGATGTCTGCTTTCTCTTGCATATGTATAAGGGCTGGTGCATAGGGCCATAATGACTGTGCCAGACATGGTGTATCGGTGGGTTTTCTCAAAACTGGGAGTTGACCATGTCAGCTGATGACACGGGTTACTTTTCTAGTAGAGGCATATTTCTTGATGTGGGTGCTGTCATTAAGGTATCAGTTTTGTAATGGACATTTATTTCATTCATAAAGTAATTATTTTAGCAGAGAGAGCATGTGGATTTGACTAGACCAGACTATTTTCTCAACCTAAATAACAGAAACTGTTACTTCTGCTATAGTAGCACAATAGATGGAATAGAGAGAAAACTGCTGGTACTGATTGAGGCACTGATTTGGCAAAGCAGTGTTTCCAATCTTAGTCTCACAGCCTTGGTGATTCCTCTAATCAATCAGCTATGCAATCTTCTGAGGTAGGAATTTACCTTTTGTCAGAAAAGAAAGTCTTGGCTCTGGTTGAGTTTAGAACAAGAATACATTGCAGAATCATAAACTTTCTTAGCAGGTTTAGCATTCTTCTATCAGGTTAGCATTATTACTGGCTGTAACCTCAAGCAGAGAGTAGTGGAATTGAGCTGCTCTCAATTTGTTTTTCGCTTACAGCAAAGTAGTTGCATAGACAATTTGTGAGGTTGTCTGTCGACTTGTTCTTAAAAAGCCACATCTCCAGGTAAACAATGAGCAAGTATTTTTGCATTGTGTCATATCCTCTGTCTACTAAAAAAAATGTGTGTGCATTGTATCTATATTCTCTTCCAAGAGATTTGAAAACATTAGAATAACCTTTTTACGATTTTCTTATCAAAACTATGATATTCATCAAATAGAAAGGTACCTTAGAAGCACCTTTCTCTTTTGTTTCTATTAAAGTTTACACAGGTCTTGTGCTTTCCACATCTTTTTGTGTGTGTCAGGAGGGCTCCCCTGAATTTTCATGAGTTTGTATACGTCGATATTGTGATTAAGAATTCTAGTCAAGGTGATCTCTTCCTATTTCCTTCTGAATGTCAGGAGAGAGCAAGAGGACCGCAGTTATAAAACTTGATTATTGTCTCTCTCACTCAAGGGAAGAGTATAATGAGCCTGATTTAGGGTTACATGAGGATTGCACATTTAGCAGGCCTAATCAAAAAAGCAGAGTATACATCAGAGTGTGAAGTTCTGTGGAAATACTTAGGTCCAACATCATCACTTAAAACAGCTCTGCTAAGTCTGTGTTGGAAGCTCAGAGTAGCACTCAGAAAATGCAGTTCAGAATTTTGTAGGTTCTCCTGGTCACTTCTGATCAAGATGCACTATCTCCCCTCTCCAATTCTATAATGGTGCCTTCAGTTACCCACAAAAAAGAGACGGGTGAAGAATTTACTTCATTAAAATGCAGTGAAATGCAGTTACTCTCAAGGCTGATAATTACAGTTGTAAATAGAATTTTATTTTCAGGGATGCCAGTTGATTTTTGTCCATTCAGATGGGAATTTTTGTGCTTGACAGCGGAAGGAGGAGAAGGAAGCAAATACGTATTGAACATGAAAATGGAAGAGTCTGAAATGGAGAGGCAGATACCCATGACAGCTTTTGACTAAGGCGGGTAAGCTGTGTTGCAACTTATCTACAGTGTTAGCAAATGATGACTTCCTCATCACTTTCTTGCTCTTATTTTCTTCTTGAAAAATTGTCAGCTGATTTTATACAAATGCTCTATCACTACCATTTGAGTACAAGGCAGAGTGAGCCATTACCTTATCTTTGTATGTGGCAAATGTGGATTGTTTTGAGTGCATGAAGCTGAAAAGGTCTCTATCTTTCAAGGACTTACATCTCCCTTACATTGATCCATCCTTCAAAGCTCGTCTCCTGTGTCTGATACCCTGGTACCCATATGTTTGACAAGGTTGAATTTTCTGATGACACTTTCTGTTCCCATTTGAAAATTTATTCTTTAGCTCCACCTCCTGGCTCTTGGTCCATGAAAAGGAGGATTCTCAGGAATCACAGAGCCTCAAGAAGGGATCAGAAGTATTCATCCTAGCTTACGAACATTAGTGTAGGGATGCATATGGGGACATTTTAGCTGAAAAAACAGAATTTGTTGAGCCCACTCATGCTGGCTTTCAACAGAGGCAAATGTTCTGGTGGTGAGGTGGACAACAATATGTGGCTCATAGTTTCTGCTTTTTGTTGGACTTTTGGTTTCTCAACTGTGGCAGTTTTGATACATGACAGACATCACAGAACAGTCTTTATGACTGTTTTTTCTCTGGTACTTCCTCAATCTTGTGGGGGTGGGGAGGTACAGGAGAAATCGTCTGACACTGAACCATTAAAAAAAGACCTCTGAGGCCTTGCAAAGGAGTCTTGTTTCACACAGGAAGAATTTGACTTTGTTCATCCTATTCAACCAGGGACTGCCCAAGAAGCAGAGGAGTAGAGCTTAGCCACCTGGATTCAAGAAGCTGAACCCATGTCTCTTCCCCGACAGCTGCGAGAAAAGAGGTAGCGTGTCTCTCCCTCCTCCTGCTCCCCCACAAGCCTCATGTAACTGCTGTGATCTGTTTGTTTAATTTGGATGCAAGCATCTTTGGTCATTCTTCTTGTTATCCTAGCTTCCACACTATTAGGCCGCTCAGTGTGGAGTAGTCCATTTCTTAGGTTGGAGTGGACTTTCTTCTTTTTGTGAGGAATAGTCAGCACCTAGGCCATAACGGGTAATTGTCCTCTTTATAGCTACAAACAGTTTCCCTTTTACTGGGGTTTGTGATATGACTAATTTTATCTCCATAACCACATCCCTCTTCACAGTAAGGGATAGTATTTACTGTGTTGTGGGTGGTGCTGATTCATGGCATTCTCCTCGAACAGCAAACTATTGAAGACCTTGCATCATTACTTCATCCTTTCGAATGGAAACACCTGCTTGGGATATTCTCCTGGCAGGATAAACCGAGAGAACTGACAGCTTTTTTTTTTGTATTATCAGAATATTTAACATTATGTCGGCTTGGAATTTCTTAGATGATCCTTTTAAAAGTTTCTCTCTACCTCATTTGTTACCCTTTTTTCCTCATTCCTGATGCTTTTTACTTAGGTGTTAATATAAATACTCCTCTAACAGCACCGAATTATAAGACTGAAGCAAAGGTGAATTTGTCTTCTGCTTGTCAAAGCTGTTGTACCGGGGAGAAGGTCACAGACAGAAAAGCACCTGCCAATTCTTGCTGTTATGTTGTGTGGACATTATAGACAAGTAATATGACTTTGCAGTAATATGGCTGCAGCGGCCGAAAAAACGCACACTCAGTCAGTTGACAGGCAGCGAGCACTTTATTTACAGAAGGCTTAGTTTTATAGTCTTTTCCTTCTGTCCACAGGCAAATATACCATATCTCATTGGGTAGGTGTTCTTGTTTATGTGCCTAAGCTCCTTTTCTAATAGGTGGTCAGCATTCCTTCATGTGCTGGCAACTCTCCAAACAACACCTGTTATTTACTGCAGTTCTTCTTCCTTTTCTGTTTTTTTCATCTTCAGTGTTTACATTCCTTTACAATCTCATAGCTGTAACTGCTCAAATTCAAGGCCTAAGCTGTCTACAGCTCAGTTGTTTCCCTCATATGGCTGCTCTTTAGGTGTTCCTGCAAGGATCCTTCCTTCTCTTTTGCTTCAAATCCAATACTTTCTAAGATCTGCAAAGCTTTTTCTAACCCTGCCTACTGTCATATGTTCCTTCACATATTTTTGACATTTTCAAACAAGTGTCTTTGCTCTTACTTCAGGTTGTCTGCTGTGAAGGTTAATGCCAAGGTCACAGGTTTGATCCCCGTACGGGCTTAAGAGCTGGATTCAATGACCCTTGTGGGTCCCTTCCAACTCAGAGTATTCTGTGATTCTGTGATGAATCTTACCTACTGTGACAGAGAGATCTCCCTGTAAATATTTGCTAGCCTACTCATTCTTTTTTAAAGCCCCTTTAGGAGTTTGCTTTATTGTGATGTCTACAAGAAAATGTAACAACATTTTGACAGCTGGTGCAGGCACCACTAGTTATGATATAGAATAATACTATGTTTGTCTTTCTTTGCTCTTTTTCTGTTTGTGCTTATCCTTTGTTTCTTATCCACAATGTACAAGGTACATTGTATGAATCTTGCACACGGAGTGTAAGGTTTTTAGGAATTAGCTTTGTGCTGTCAGTTTCTACAGCACCTGGCACAACAAGCTCTTTTCTCAGAACTGTTTCCTATTCCCTACAGTAATGCAGTAATAATAACAGCATAAATCATGATATAGAATGATCTCCTTAGAATAAGATATACTGCTGCAGAGTTATTACTATAAGTCTTCTAAATGCTGTAGGAAGGATTAAGAATGCATCCACAGTTGATCACATTTTACAGGAAAAGCTTAGTAGCTCAAGCATTTTTTTTGTAGTTCTCCTCTAGAAAGCCTAGGAATGATAAGGGTGGTTTTCAGACATGTCGAATCCTCACAGTGGTCACTGACTTTGCTGAACTTGCAGAAACTTGAAATCTTGAGATCAGGCCTCCAGAGGAAGAGAAAGACACCACAAGTGTGTGATTCTTGATTTTGGCAGTAGATAATGTGATATTGCCTTTGTTCTGTATGGCACAAAGACCTCGAAGGCTAATACCAGTATGAGTAACCTAAATCTTTTGTTCTTGCTTCACAGTGATTTTGACCAGCTTCCAGATGATGTACCTGTTTCAGCTAACATTGCAGATATTGAGGAGAAGAAAGGCTTTACAAACTACTTCGTAAGAAGGGAGATTCATTCTATCTCTGTGTGCCTTCGTCTGTGACTGGTTTGGTTGTGGGAAGTAAATGCAGTTTATCTGGTGAAATTGCTTTTTGCTATGAATAGTTCCATGTGGAAAACTTCCCAGTGCTTGTTTTTTCTAGAATGGAGGATAGTCTATCATAGATTTAGTTTAAAAATTTATTTTCTGAGTGAAATGTGACAGAGGTATCCTCTAACATCACTTGTTTTCTAAATTCTTATCTAATCTCCAATTTTTTTCCTGTTGGAGTGCTGTACCTTTGCTGAAGAGAGTGGTAAAGGAGTTCAAGAAGGGTAGAAGGGCAGAGTTGTTATTCCTTAGTACTGGCAAGTTAGGATGCTCCCATCTCCACAGAAGATAGCATATTAATAAAATATGAAAGAGCACACAAGAAGGGAATAGTAGGGAAAAGCACTAAGGTTCTGAAGATTTTGAATACGACCAGCTCAGTCTGACTTCTGCTGGAGACTTTGCTCATAAACCCTTCCCACTGCAGTATGCAGGTTTTAGTCTGGAATGTAGTGATGTTTGATTGCTCTGTTTTTATGTTTTCTGAAGGATCTGGCTGCAATGTGACTCAAAGGTCAGTGTATGGAAATCATAGGTTTCTTTAGAGTAAAGCAATTTTGTCAGGAGATAAGAAATAAAATACTGGTTGGAGGCAGTCAGACCATAATTTCTGAAATTGTGTACCTTAAAGTCAAAAAGAAGTATGAATGCTTTCAACTCTGAAAATCAATTCATTTAGATGCCTGTCTATAGACTTAGATGTCCAAAGCATCTCACTGTAAAATATTTGTATTTACCTCCCTAATGTGTTTTGTTTGTTACTGAGGGAAGGTGCGTAAGCATAAAGTAGAATCTAGTCATTTCATGTTTCCTTTTAAGATTATATAACATAAAGTAAAGCAGCCACAGGGATATGCATCTTGGGAAATCCGGACCCACAAATATGCCATGCTGGTGCTAACTTGTTATTTTCTAGTTCTTGAGTCTGCAGATACTTAACTGAAAGCTTGCTTTCCACTCTGCCCCTAAGAGAATATTCCCTCTAATGGAGCACTGATCTTATGATCCTATTGCCTTACTTTCATTTGGTAAGTATTTATGAGTATGAATATCAGCCTGAATCTCTCTTCTCTGTTTCAGATGTTTGTCATTGAAGTAAAGCTTAAAGGTCGTGGCAGATACCTGATTTTCCGACGCTATCGTGAGTTCTATGCCCTGCACACCAAACTAGAGGAGAGATATGGGCCAGAGAGTGATAATGGCCCATTCACCTGCACACTCCCTGTATTGCCAGGTAAGCTGTCAGTACCAAGTCTTTCCATGATTAGCAGCTTTATCGGCCCCAGGCTGTCCCAAAGAGGAGTTCATTGAGGGAACTAGTTGTGACAAGGAACTAGTTCCCAGCTGTAGATGCCAGAGAAGTCAAACTCCATTGGCAGCACCTTCACTTGTGGTAAAGTTCATTTAGAAACATAAAATGCTTTAGAAAATATGTATTTTCTTGGAGATCCTATTTTCTCCTGATTGCTTCATTTCTCTGACAACCTCCTTTGTTTTTTCTTCAATAACTGTCACAGGTTTTATATTTTCCAGGAAAAGTTTTTGTTGGTGCCAAAAGGGAAATTGCTGAGAACAGGATTCCTATCCTAAATGTCTACATGAAGGTAAAACTTAATTTTAAGGTGGAGAATGCACTGAGCACTGCAGATATTTACCCCTTGAAATCAGCTAAGAGAGACAGTACTGCTACAGTCCTAGGTATCTGCTTCTCTCTGTATTGATTTTTCTGAATACACAGTGCACACACTGTGGTACAACCTGCAGTCCTCTTCCCCAGATTGTTCAGACTGTAGGATCTGCTGGAGTACACTGTTCACAGAGGCTCACTCACTCCCTTCGTGTACAGATAGATATCCTTAGCAAAAAAATCCCCCAACACGAGATGTATGAGGAAATGGTGAATCTCCAGGTGCTGCATGAATACAGGATTGGTATGTATGTCTAAAAGACTGGGAGAATGGTGTGTGGGTTGTGTTTTAACCTTGCCCACCAACTAAATACCGTGCAGTCACTTGCTCACTCCTGTAACAGAATAGGGAGGAGAATCAGAAAAAGGTGAAACCCGTGGGTTGAGATAAGAAAAGTTTAATAATTGAGATAAAGTAAAATATAATCCTAATAACTGTAATTTAAAGGGAGATAATGAAAAACACAGAGAGAAATAAAACTAAAGAAAAAACTAAACAAGTGATGCACAATACAATTGCTCACCACCTGCTGACTGATACCCAGCCAGTCCTCTGAGCAGTGACCAGTGGCTCCAAGCCAACTCCCCACAGTTTATATACTGGGCATTCTATGGCATGGAATACCCCTTTGGCCAGTTTGGATCAGCTGTCCTGGCCATGGTCCCTCCTGGCTTCTTGTGCAGCTCCTCACCAGCAGAGCATGGAAACTGAAAAGTCCTTGGTTTATTAAGCCACTGGTTAGAAGCAACTAAAACAGTAGTGTGTTACCAACATCATTCTCATGCTAAATCCAACACACAGCACTGTACCAGCTACTAAGAAGAAAACTGGCTCTATCACAGCCAGAATCAGGACAGGTGGGCTTCTGGTTATACCTGCTCTACAGTGAAGATGCATCCAGTAAACATCAAGGAGATAAATTCTTTGTGTGCAGGTTAACTGAAGACCTGACTTTAAATCACTAAAAGCTTGAAACACTGGCCAAGGCTTACATGACTTAAGATTACCTTCTTTCCACAGTCATTCATGTTCTGAAGGGAAACACAAAAAACGATTTACTTCTGCAGTAAGTCAGGTACAAAAAGAGTGAAGCAATACATTGGCCAACTCCAGGAGTAAAGAAGAGAAACTGTCAGCTGTTCAGCTGTGTCCTGCTGAGTGAGAAGGGAGAGGAGAGAGATTTCTGGCAGTAATGAATATCCTTCATGATCCTGTAGGTCAGAGAGGCATATTTGTTGCATGTAAATAAATAGAGAATTGGTCTCTCCCACTGCTACACTCTGCTTCCTCCTTGCTCTTGGCACAGAACCTACTCTGCCTCCCTGCTTGGGTGTTGATGGATGAAGATGTACGACTGTTCTTCTACCACTCAACCTTCGATAGCGAGCAGGTGCCTCACAGACTGAGACGGCTTCGCCCACGGACCCGCCGAGTGTAAGTGATTGACATGTTTTTTCAGCATTTCTTGGTGTAAAAGATGCTGTCCAGTTTTGGGGGGGAGAGAGAGACATGAGGGTCACCACTGTGTTTCCCGTGTGAATCCATGAATTCCCAATATGAGGATCTTTGTGGTAGAGTGAACACAGAGTATATCTTCTTTTCAGTAATCTTAGCTTTTTAAAGTGGATGTGGTACTTGCATTAAAGGAAAATTCCAAAAGGAGAGTATAGCTTGCTTTTAAAAAATACTGTCCAGTTCTATCTGCCTGTATTTCTTTAATGGTAATCTCTATTATAATGTGCAGAATATACAGGCCAAGCTTAATGACATAGGCTTGCACCACTGAAGTCAATGTGAGTTTTGGCAATTAATTCAGTGAGATCTGGTTCAGACACTAAATGAAACTGAATATTTAATTTGTTTCTGTCCTTTGTCCAAACAGGGGCCTGTCCTACATAGCAGCATTGACACCCCTTTGGAGAACTGTTAAGTAGACGCCATACTTCATTACCCTTTAGACAAATTAATTCTCCTTTCAGCATAGCAAAGATGGACCCGCTTCCTTTTCACTTACCTCAAACACTGCAGAAATTGCATGTGTGTATGATGACAGAGTTTGAACTAAATGCCATAAATGCTAGAAACAGAGATGCCCAGAAGGCAGAGTAGGGGGGCTGAGCAGTGCTGTGGAAGTCCAGGATACTGACTATATTGAAAATTCCATCTGTTCTCAACAGCAGACACCATCAGATTGTTGCTACTCTGAACTGAAACTGAGGGAACTAGGGCAATGTTGTTGCATCCGTATTTTTTTACTTCAGTGCTGCACACAGATTCATTTTCATGCAGTTTCTCCAGTGGTCTATGGCTTACCTGCCTCTTAAATAGTAAAAATGCAGACATTGTACTACTGTTTGTGTAGCATTTTTTATGACTAGAAAGGCATGTTTATCTCCCTGCTGTCCCCTTTCTTTGCAGTAAAAGCATTTCACATCAAGTACCTATTTTTGACCGCACAGCAGCTCCGCGGGCTGAGGTGAGTACTCTGCACAACCTGTCACAGGATAGGAGATTAAACTCCATTTTACTTTGGTACCTCATCCATCAAGTTGCCTTTTCCAATTAAAACCTGGGGGAAGAAAGTGAAATCAACAGAGAAAAACAATTGATTTTAACAACAGGGAGTGAAACAAAGGATGGAAAGAAGTGTTTTGTTCCTCATCACTTGAGTAGTAAGAAGGTCCATTGTGAAGTCAGAGCGACAGGACATTCAAAAATGAGACATGTACAGCTTGCTGCCAAATGGTGCATATTTGCATAGTGATAACCATAAATTAAATTTATAACAGGCACAAGCTTCAGCTTCATTGACTTCAGCATATCTTTAAAAGCTTTGCAGGTGAGGCATCTCAGTATTTTCTGTAGCACAAGTGTTCTACTGAAAAGTGCCTATACCCTTGTCTTTTGTGGTATATTGTCTCACTATTAAGCACATGGGACTGCTTTGTAACCAGTATTTGTCTGAGCATTGTCTTGCTTCCTGGAACTTTGCTATGTAAGATTAAAAAAAGCCATCAAATGCTTTGAGGTTTGTTGGTTTTGGTTTTCACACTGACAGTGACAGGTCTTGGAACAGTCATGCCTCCTGGGTTTTATCTATGAATTTATTAATATCCATTATACCTGCCAAAACTTTTCAAGAGGTGAAAAAAGCTTTTGAAAGAGCTATTAAATAGACATATGAACTACGAGCACAACATTAATAAGAGTGAAAGAACTATCTCAACACAGAACAGAGAACACCTTTTCGTTTTTGTTCCTCTAAGAGTGTTTAAATTGCTATCATGTTCTCTAAGGACAATGGGGGAGCTGTGCATTTTTGTAACTCAGCAACATTAATTGTCCAAGAACAGTTTGTTAAGATGGTAGCATGTACTTCCTTTTTTTTTTTTCCTCCTGAAGAGGACATCTAAATTCCATTTTAACCACATGTCAATTTCCCAGGCTTCCCCAAATCTCTCAGTTCAGCATATAGACCTGAAAGCTAGATGTAAGAGCAACAGTTACTTACCCTTAAATTAGGACACAACAGTTCTGCAATTTTTTAAGACTTTTTATGATATTTTGCAGCGAATCTAAAAGTTGTAAAACTGCAACCAGAAATAATATATCTCTTCAGTTCTCAGGATTTCAAGCTGTCAGTTGTTTTCAGCTCTGTTGTCTTATTTGCTCTTAAGTGTTTTCAGCTTATGTATATTTATTTCTCTGGTGCTCAGGGTTCTGTCCCTTTAAGAATCCTAGCATGCAGTTCTCTCAGGCCCATGTTTATCCTAGTGCTTTCACTATTTCTTCAAAGCATTTTTGTGCGTGCTGAGTAGGAGAAGAAATTGTGAGAACTGCAGACTGTGGTCAAATATATGTGACCTTATCCCAGAAACAGGTCTGTGACGACAAAATGCACACTATCTTGCTGCTTTATGCTTTCACCTCAAGTACAGAAAAGAAAAAAAGGTTTACTTTTGTAATTCTGCAAATTAGTAATTTCAATGTTATTACTTTCCATAGGCACTGTTTGATTTTCCTGGAACCAATAAACTGGAACTCAGCTTCAAGAAGGGAGACTTGATCTACCTACTCAGCAGAGTAAATAAAGACTGGTTGGAGGTAAGACTGCAAGAGCAATACTGAATTATTAGCATACCTTGACATATATGAGTAGAAAGGGTTCTCCTAATCCTTGTGACCTGTCTCCTCCTTTCAAGGAGAAACTCTACCATAATCAAGTCTTACTGTCAAGAATAAATCCTTGATTCCAAATTTATAATTGCTTTGTTCCTTGATGGTTTTTAGCTTACAAATTTTCTGCCCTCCAGACTTCAGTTTTCATTTGCATTTTTTTCTGCTGGAATGTTCTTAAATTCTTTGGAAGTGATTAGAACACAGAAAGGCCACAGAAAGGAGATGGAAACTCCATTTCAGTGATTAATTGGTTTCTTGCCTCAGGCTGAGTTGCTGTATGCTTCATGCTTCATACCACAACACACGTCAGCCTGATTAGAGAGAACTTGGGTAATGCAGCAGTCTTCTGAAAGAGGATGAGGAGAACATACTGCGTGTTTGCTGATATGATATCTCTGCTTGCTCAAACACCACAGCCTTCCTTGCTAACCATCTGACTTTCATTTTTTACACACTGTTTCACCCTCCTGCCTGGTATTTGACTGTGCAATTGTATAATCTTTTTGTAGGGATGCCATCAGGTCACTTCCATAGCCTTTCTTTTCTGGATTATAGTAGAAAAATTCTTATTGTTGTTTCTGTGGAAATTAATTGAATTCCAGAACTTATGCATGTGGCCGAAATGGCGTGGTTTTCTTGATTCTAATATTTCCCATCATTCCAGGGAACTGCTAATGATGCCACTGGGATTTTCCCATGTGCTTTTGTGAAGATCATAAAAGATTTACCACAGCAGGAAGACACAGTCAATAAAGTCCGCTGTTATTACCACAGTGAGACTGTGAGCACTATCAGGTAATAAGAAAATAGTATTCCAGATTATTGCTGAAGAAGCACCAATAATTCTCTTTTCATGATATGTAATGAATAGATTTGTTCTGATTACAGGGATATCTCAGTGGAAGAGGATCTGAGCAGCATTCCATCATTCAAAGATCTCATGGAATTGATGAGGTACAGTGCAAACAGTTAGTTGTATATTTAATACTTAAACATTTGTCAAGCTTATGCCAGTCCTAGATTTTTCACATTCTACTTGGTCATCACCAGGTTTTGGTTGTGAAATACTTTTCAAATGTCTTGAAGAAGTTGTACTTTGACTTGGCCTAGGGCCATCTGTGCAAACACCTATCTTCCTTGGGATTGTCAATAAGTATGGAATGACCCACACTTCTGATTCACTTATGCTGTGTAGAAGTTTCCATTTTTGTTCTAAGGTCAAAGCAATCACCCCTTGAAAACATCTTTTGTCTAATATACTTCTTCAGGATGCAGGACTCCACCTTCTAACACCTGCTAAACTAGTGTTAAACTAACTTGATCTAGTGTTGAATATCAACACTTTAGAACATCAAATATTAGTAATAGAACACCTATGCTAATACTCTTACACTCCTCAGAAAAAAAGCAACTGTAAGTAGGCAAAAGTGGTTAGTAACTACAGTCAGCATTTTTTGTATGGGAATTTTATCAAACATACAGATTAATTGTGCCATTTGTGTGGTGTTACTGTAAAAGGTTCTTGGTTCTGATAGATTTCTTAGCTTAAACACAGCGCAGCACAAATGTGGCTGTATAATTTCCAGTACTAGCTGTATCAAGAATGCCAACACATGCAAGGCTTTATGTGGCTTTTAGCAGAGTTAATTAGATTGTCAGTATATTGTTCATCATTGTAGCACCTCCCAGGCATTCCTTGATTTCTGGGGATCAATCCATTCCTTTTCTACCAGGCGGGAGTTTGACCAAGATGACATTGCTTTGAATTATCGGGACCTTGACGGGGATCTGATCCGGTTGCTCTCCGATGAGGATGTTGAACTCATGGTATCTCAGAGCAGGAGAAGGCCCTCTGAGAAGCACTTTTTTCCTTGGAAGTTGCACATCACTCACAAAGATGACTTGGGTGTCTACAACACTAGTCCAGGAATAGATGCTACTCAAATAGTAGGAGCAATGTAAGTGCTATATAGATATATTCCAGTAGGTAGCTATACAGTCCTTTAATAATCCCTCTCTTCAAGCAGTTTCCTTTAATATGGCTTTGAAGTGACCTCGAAAAGAGTAATTTTTAGTAATATGTTACTTTTCAATGTAAAATCTGTACTTAGCTTCTACAGCTTTTTAGCACTCCTCTGCAATAGAGACATCTACATAGAGACCAGAGAAGGTGAGGAATAGATAAATAAAATCACTGGCCATATTCACAAAGCAAGTCAGTGTTAGCCTGCAATAGAGATGTCTGGAGTCCCAAGACCTGCTCTAATCTCTATACTCACTCCCAGAACTAATTATTTGTCCAGAATGCCTTCATAAACTTTTCTTTTTTTTCTAGATTGCCATAATTTTCTCTTCATTTGCTGATATGAACATTTGTGTGCCAGTGCATAATTATTTCTGTCATGCTGGAGTCTGATCAGGTATTCAGAGTTTCTTCTAGAAGGATCAAGAAAACTTTTTTGTACTTCAGTGAAGAAATTGCAGCCCACCTTAGCTTTCTTCTTTCCACTGCCCAATATATTGAATTTTTTGAATCAAACTTAGTACACCTGTGGTGTTCCTCATAGACCTTTTTGTAATTGTACAGACTACTTATTTCTGCATTCTGGGAAAACATGCATGATGCCTATTCAAACAGGAGTTTATTCTCTGTCTATCTTCTGCTTTCGGACACTTCATTTCAAAGGAGAACTAACAAGAAATTACTGTATCAGATTCTTCAACAAATAAAGTTAAATATGAGTTTATCAATTTTTATTTAAAAGTGGGTTTTTTTGGGGGGGAGGGATTTGGTTGACATTATTTTACTGAACTATTACAAAATGTAACTTCCTGCTTCAAAGACATTACAGTTTAGAAAGGAGATGAAGCAATATGCGATGATAATGTCAGTGATCTTACATGTTGTGATACATAAGAAAATATATTGTAAGTTTGAAACCTAATGGCATGCATGGTCTGCAAAGCTTCTGGTGTGCAGGATTACTTGTTACCTGTTCCTGGAGTTTACCAGAGCAAATGACATCTGAAGATTTTCACTTACAGCTAGGTCCTGTGATATAAACAGCAATGCAGCATGTATGTCTGAAAACGGAGGAACATTTTCAGAGAGAAAGGGGAGGGAAGGAAAATGTCTGTTGGGAAACAAGAAACCTCTTTTCTAAGGGTGGGGGAAGAAATAAACATACTGGCCTCTGAAAATCAGAGCAGGATAATTCCTCTCTACCTTTATACTCCATACAAAGTAAATTCTACCCATCCAGCAAAGTCACATATTCCCCTTCTTGTCTGCAGGTTTTATACAGACACCTCCTGACACACAGTTTCTTCAGATATTCTCATGTTCTTCATCTTGCTCTGCATGTTTCTCTTATTCACATTATCCTTTTTTTTCCTTGTTTATTGCTGCAGTTCTGGTGAGAGCGTAACTGAGCTGACTGTTGTTTTGGTCAGTACTCCAGGAATTTAGAGGAGGTGTAGTATGTATCAGTGCAGGATAGACAGACTCTAGCAGTTATATTCTGTATCTGGGGGCTCAGTCTTCCATGGTTTACCCTCCAGAGCAAAAACGTGAGTGTATGTTTTCCTTATGGCTACCTAACTTTCCTGGAGATCTTATTATTGAAGGCTACTGGCCTAAATTTTAAAGTTGGATTAAAAGAGCATGGCTGCCTTGGTTGTAGGATGACTTCAGATCAACTCTTCTCATCAATTTTCTTTTGTTTCTTCTGTGTACTCTAGCACTTATTAACTGTTGTTGAAATAGGTAAAACTTGCTTTTAGAAATATTGCTCAAATTAAAGGGTTACAGAAATAAAGGTAGTTCACTAGTCCCCAGTATAGACATACAAATGAAAGTCCAGTGTGATCCCTGCCATGAAGATTGTCTAGTCTAGATTAAAGCAAGAAACAGCACTGGAGTGAAAACTAGAAATTCTTTCTTTGTCTTCCTTACTTCTGCTGCAGTCAATCCCTTCTTTTTCTTAAAATACATTAGTCCCATGATCTGGTAATTGCTAACACGCAGATTGACAAACTTCCTTTCCCTCCCTTCCCTTAGTGCCATTTAAGTGCATACTCTGGGGGCTAAAATAGGAACTACAAACTTCCTATTTTACAAGAAATTGCATAGACTTCCCTTGAAGGGGTGGGTTCTGCTTCTCCGAAAGTGGCATTTCTGATGCACGGAAGATGCAGCATTTATTTTGAAGACTTACTTGCCAAGGAAATCCTGTGCTTGGTTGATAGCTTCTGTCTCCAGTTCTAGGTAAGTGTGGGTTTGCTGGTTTCTGCATCAGAGGATTCTGGTGCTGTGGGGGCAGGCTGGATCAGGTTGAATGATCTGCCTCACGGACATCTCTGGGTCCAGGTAAGGGAATGGTTTCCTTTCTGGGGAAAGCAAAATGGCAGAATCTGCCCTCATACAAAGGCTTGTGAGTGACTAAGGGATTCCTTAGCTGTAATGACTATTCAATATCATTGGCTCAGCCAGTTGTTTCTCGCATAAGGAATTGATGTTGAAGAGTCTGAAAGTCAATAGGAATTTAAAAGGAGTTTTTCCATGCTCCCCTGAAGTAGAAAAGAGTCTCAGATCTGTAATGTATTTAAGTAGGTGAGTGCATTATGCTTTTGAGAGAGCAATGAGAAATGGCCAAAAGGACTTGAATTCCAGTATGAACGGTGTGGTCCGTGGTCTTGGAACTGCTCAATCTACTCTCACTCTCTAGAATCACCAAAGAAAATAGTTTCTTTGATATTATGTCTACAATTTGCAAATTGTTTGGGGAGCAGCTAGAAAAGTAGCATGTTGATGAAAAATCTGAAAGTGAATGAATATGGAAATTCAACCACTATAGCTCCCAGGAATTATGTGGTTGGAGATCATATTTTTGAGGAAGGGTAAAAAACAGAACACTGTAGTGGCTCATTAGGAAGGCTTTGAGCATAAAGAGGAGAAGGATAAATAAATTTGAAGGCTGAGTTCTCTTCACAGATCAGGAATGTTTCTTGTTGCTACTCAACAATGCAAATGTGCATTTGCTTCATTCTTTGCTTGTATTGCAAGCTCACACAACAAGAAGACATGAATTTTGTCCTACAATAAATACTTGGTAGAAGTTCTTTCTGAATGCCACTCCAACACAAATATAAAAGAAGTTCCCTCATTCAGTTTTACTTCTCTTTATGTGAAATGGAAACAAGCAGCTCTACAGTAAGCAGAAGACTATGATCTGAATTAGGATCAAGCCTGCAGGCAAAGGACAGTATGAACATGAAAGAGATTTTCATCCTGCTGCTGAACCTGTATTTGGTCTTCAGTGTTCAAGCCATTCGAGGTGAGATTCAAATTTATATTCTCTTTTATCTTTCCTTCCTTCATTGCCTTTCTTTTTGTATCTGTTTGCTTCTTTCAACTAATGATCTTCCTCATTTTTTGCTTGCTTTTCTGCTTCCTTCTATACCGTCTTCTCTACTATAGGAGAACAGACATTGTGATTAAAACCAGTGTGTAGCAGGTGCATGTGCAGACAAATCAGTTGTATGTTGGTGGTAAGGACAGGCGAAATACTGGATAAATGGATGAGATAAATAAGCTGACTGGATAATGAGTGAATGGAAAGGAGGAGTAGACCCTGGTAATTAGTGAAAACAGGAAAATGAAGGGCTGCATAATTCCAATGGAACTGTACAGGAGTGTAGTCATGTGGACAGACACAAGACAGGGTGGTGGGGGCTACCAAGAGCAACATCCAGATGACCTGATTTTCTTCCTGTGGAATTGCTGACAGATAAAGAGACCATCTGCCATATCCATTGCTTGTGTTTCTGAGTTTAATATCTTTCCTTTCTTATGCAATGAGAGCTACTCTTTACCCCTAAAAAGCCCCTTAAATAGGCCGATAGTAGCTCTCATCATGAAAAACTACTTGAGGGAGCACACTCATGTACGCACACTGATATCTTTGTCATCTGAAGCTGCAATATCCCAATAGCACAGCACAGATATTACCTTCAGAGAAAATAAAGCAGGATAAGAAAGCAACTTGCCTCCTAGTGCATGTGCTAGAGGCAAGTCTGTATTTTCCAACTTAACAATTGTGAACTTAAAAAAAAAATTTATCTCTCACGAGAGGTCTGGCTGTTTCTGGATCATGAATCTAGTTCCAATAAATTAGTTTGGTCATTATTCTGAGTCATAACAAGACTATTCTCAGAGCATCTCACTTTTAAATATACCTTTCTAACATCATCATGTTTACTAGGAAGTTAGTGGCAAAGAAGTCTATACACCAACACAACAAAGATGAAATGATTGCTATGTGCCTGCTGTCCATAGTGTCTACTAATCCTTGGAAATAATCAGTGTTGGAAAAGTGATACCTTGGCTGGAATTATATTCCTTGCAGGCACAAAGATCTCAACTGTGGGTAGTTATAGCTTGGTTTGGACACTTGTGTATTGTAGAGATGTGCAGAATGGCCACAACTCTGTACATATTTTCACCGAGTTGTGCCCAATCCCTGGAGGTGTTCAGGGCCAAGTTCAGGGCTCTGAGCAACCTGACCTAGTGGAAGGTGTCCCTGTCCATGGCAGGGGGGTTGGAACTTGATGATCTTTAATGTCCCTTCCAACCCAAACCATCCTACAATTCTATAATTTTCTGGTGGCAAGAGGAGAGTACTGTTATCAGTGCCTTACCTGTTTTGTACTCCTACTATCTCTCACTGTTTACGTTTGTAGTCACTGCATCCTTTTTTTTTTTTTTTCCTGAATTCCTTTCTCAGAGAGCATCCCTATGAAAAGCTTGAGCTGCTTGAATGACTACAACTCACAGGTCACCTGCACATGGATGGAGCATTCAGATGCTCATGACCTTGTTGGTATGATTCTTTACCACAGGGATGATGTTTTAATGTAAGTACCTATAATGTGCTGAGCTGGATAAAAGACCAAAGGGAAACTGGCCATAACTTGGAACCCTAGAGACCAGCAGGCAGATTTTAAGAAAACATGCCCACCTCTTTCTGTCATCGGGTTAAAACAAAAGTTGTACCTGCTTCTGAGGCCTCATTTAGGAAGGGAATAATGAATAGGCCATGCTAGTGGAGTTATTTTTTTCACCTTTACAATTATTTTCCATGATTTTGTTGTGAGATAATAGATTAGAAATAAGACAGGGCATATAGGATGCTAATAATGGAGGGCAGAAGATGGTGTCAGAAAAATGTGAGCATAAAGGAGAGTTTTTATAAACCCAAAAGGAAGAAGGCATTCCCCGTGTCATTTTGTCAATTTAGAAGCATCACTGAGAGTGTGGTTTTGATCACTTCTGAGCAACATGTATAGATTCTGTGTTTGTGAGATAGAGAAGACTGGTAAGTTCATCTGTGCTATCGGTTTTCCTCCCAGAGATACTGGTGTGTTTATGAGAGTATCTCTCTGTTACATCTGTTTCCTTTTGAAAAGGGAACCGAATCATCAGACTGGATCGATTGTGAGGGTAAGAAAGGACAGAAGGGAGGAAGAGTTAGGGGAGAGAGGAAGGCAAAGATGGATGGCTGAGAAGAAAATGATTTAGAGTATGGGGATACAGGAAGGAAAGTAAAGAGAAAGAACTCTTAATTTTATTGCAAACAAGAGAGAATTAGTAGATCTAAAAGCAACTGAAATCAGTGGAAGAACTTTGGAACAGGACCTTGAAGTTAAGGCTTCTGAGAAAAGATGATATAAAGTTACTTGGACTTTTGGAGGATTCTCTGCAACATTGTTACTTGATGGAGTGTGTGGATCATGAAACATGACTGAACTCATCAGATGAGTCAGTATTAAACACGGACAATCACACAGCTGAAATCAAAACAGCCAGCAATTAAACACCATCGGCTCATAGATGAAGAATAGTTGATTAAATCCCAGACTATAGGGTAATGGTGAGTGGACAGAAATTTCTTTAGGACTTCACAACCCTTGGGCTGACTCTTGTTTAAGGTTATGCACATGTATGGTCAGTCCCACCCATATTTCAGCAATTTCCCTGGTTTCCTTGCTAATACTCAACTTTTAAAACTAGCAATAGTGCTGAATAATGCTTGCTGACATATAGTTGGCTAGAAGACTCCATCTTATCCTGGAAGACAACATTTGGCCTTAAATATTTGCAAGTTAATATTTCTCATCTGAACTGGAACAATATAATATACTGGGCATGAAGCCACAAGCACAAAAAAAATTCCAGAGAGTACAAAAAAAAGCAACACTTCTCTCCAGCAGCTAAGGCTACTGCAAACACACAAATATTTCCCTCTCCTGCCTAGTTTAAAATACTGTTTCTAATTTTCATGATGTTCCTTGGACTGGAGAAAGGCTATCTGAAAGAATGATTAACATTTTGGATCAACTCTTTAATGAATGTTTGAGGTCCCTTGTCAGAACAGAACTACAAAGGATACAGAAGTACATTTTGGTTGGACAATCTTTTTTTAAGTGTCTTTTTGGGACTGCAAAATGAATGTCTTCAATAAGCTAAGGATCATCAGAACTTTACTGCCTTTCACTTTGAGTAAAAGGTGCATTTACATGACATTAATTTTCATCATACTATTTCTCACCTAAAATATGAGATTACATAGAGCTAGGCTAAAAAGTAACAATAACAGACTGGTACTAAAATATAGCATTCTGCTGTATAACTTCGAAATGAGGAGGCATTTGACAAAAATCGTGGTGTTAAAAATATTTGTCATATCAACTGATGCAAAACAGGACTAATAGATACGGTGAGAAGAGGATATAAGTGCCTTAGTAAATTATAACAACAGAATGGGATGAAATTGGTTTCAGGTATTTAATTTTGTGTTAACTGTAGGTCTCCAGATCAGATCTTTATAGATGACTTTATACACAGGGAGAACAAGGAGATGTATTGCAAACGCCAGACAGAAAACGACTTACATGAGACTCCTGATGTGTATGTGCGCTGGGTTTGTCGCAACTCTACAGACTATTTTGGAATGGGGGTAGAAGATATTTATGGCTTCAAACCTAACAAGATGCTTCAAGCAGAACTAAATGTTGATCTTTTCCAAAATGGTAAGACTTAAATACCAAATTCTCATTTTCCAATGAATTTTAAGGATCTTTGGGACTGTGTTTGCCATTCAGCCAAGAACTGAATTCTACTTCCATTGTGAAAACTGCCAAAGAGGTCCACATTGAAAGGGTGGGTCAGGGAGAGGAAAAGGCATGTTTCTGGGAGCAGCTGGACCTGGTATCATCTCAGGAGCTAGTCAAGCAGAAGATACTTGGTGTGGCAGGGATAACATACTCTGGAAATGGGGAAGCTTACCTAGATGTTCTCTTCCCCTCTTTGTGTCCTTCCCTCACTATCTCTACTCATGTGTTGTACCAACACCTTCCAGTTCAGCCCCTTCCACCTCAGAACCTCTCAGTCAGCTTGATGACATCAGGAGACTTCTTGCTGACCTGGAAAACAGCTGATGAAAGCCAAATGCTGGGCAATGCACTGGAGTATGAAGTCACTTACAAGCGGGAATGGGAGTCCTGGGAGGTAAGAGTGGAGGAGCTGAGCTGTCCTGGGTTGGACTGCACCATTTTGGGCAATTGAAAGTCTGTGGTAAAAGTTGTGTGAATTAATGACCTTTCCATTCTCAGGTACTAAGAAGATGCAACAAATATTTTTTGGGTCAGGCAGAAGGGATTCTCTTTCTATTTGCAAGTGACTTGCCCAGTGAAATACCATTTGTCCTGAACTGAAAGCAAAGCTCTCTTCTCCACTGAAAAAAACCAAAAAGGGATGCTGTGCTTGGGTTTTGAGTTGGAATTGATTTTGCCCTGAATCCCTTCCAAATAGAATTAAATCATGTTCCAACAGGAGGCTGTGGGTTCATGAGGGGAAAATGGCAAAATACATTTGAAGTTGCTCCCCCATGGACAAAGATATGTTTTGGAGTTTTTTGGTGGAGTTTTTTGTTGTTTGTTTTTTTGTTTTGTTTTGTTTTGGTTGGTTGGTTGGTTGTGTTGTTGGGGAATTTTTTTTTAGTTTTTTTTTTTGTTGTTGTTTTTATTTTTTGTTGTTTTGTTTTGTTGTTGATTTTTTTTTTTGATTGGTTGTTTGTTTTTTAATTTTTAGTTTTTAGAAGTCCATATCCTTTGCTCTATTGTTTCCCTGGATCTTCATATGTTTCTCTTCTGTATCTGTCAGCTTAATCTTTAGTTTTTAAGGGAAGTATCCTGTCCAGATTCCCACATAATTCTGCACTGAGAGTTATGAACATGTGTAGCTGGAGGTGAACACAGTCAGGACTCTGCAAGCTGCAGGAGCTGGCCTACTTGTTGGGAGAGGTTGTGCCTGAGAGTGCCTGTGCCTCAGCCTTCCTGTGCCATGCTGGCAGCATGCGTGCTGAAGCCCCTCTAGTATGGGAGTAAGGACGACTGCATGGCAGCATGGACATGGACCACTGCATGTGTGGGACTGTTGAGAGATGCCAGCTGGCAGTCACATCCTCTCACTCTTTCCCCCCTCCACCCCTCTTCTCCATTCCCCAACTCCCCAATTTCCTCCCTCCCTTCCATTCCCTTTTATCCCTCGACAACAGGGAGCTGCCTCACTCTTGCTCTCCAACACCACTCACTGCAATCTCAGCCGTGAGGACCTCGTCCCAGGGAGCAGCTACATTGCCCGTGTGCGAGCCAGACCAGGGCAGGCCAGTGGCTTCTCTGGGCAGTACAGTGAGTGGAGCATGGAGGCGTCATGGAAGACCCCTGAAGGTAGTATAGGATGGAGAGGGGCTGTGCAGGGTGGGAAGCTCTGGCTGAGAAGCCAGACCTTTCCTGTCACTTGTTTCTCTGAAGGTGGCCTTCAGCCCAGGAACCTTCGCTGCCTCTTCAATGGTGGAGATCGTCTGACCTGCAGCTGGGAAGTGAAGAAAGCGATCACCACCTCTGTCCTCTTTGGCTTGTTCTTCAGGGCCACTCCATCATCAGAGTACGTGCTCTGCCCATGGCAGCATGTCTGTGCCTCTCCCATGGGGTTTCTGCTCTGCCCCATTCCCCTAATCTCAGTTCAGCCTCTTTTTTTCCCCTCAGAGAAGAGGAATGCTCTCCTGTGCGTGAGAAGACTTTGCCCCACATCCCGTACGTGGTGCAGAGCTGTGAGATCCTTGTTAGCAATTCCAGCAGCCAGAGCCAGTACAATGTGTCTGTCCGGGCCAAGACGGAGGAGAAACTGATTGAAAGCTACAAGAACAGTTAGTTACTGTGTTGTTTCTTCCTTCTTCTCTTTCTTTCCTTCTTGGAGAGATGCCTGTCTGAGCAAGTGGGGCTGAAGACAGTGGCAAGGAAGAAAAGGGAGTAGGGAGAAGAATCAATTACTGACAAAGAAAGGAACTGTGTCAGGTCAGAGCTCTGGGATGTAAGTGTGGAGTTCCTCAGTGGCACTCTGAGGAAGGTGATGGTGACAGAAACTGCTGTGCAGAAATTCAGGTTGTAACCCAGAGCTTATCAATGAGTGATTTTCACCCTGCTGACTTCTCTGTGATTGACCTTCAAGAGTGTCCCAGGTGACAGGGAGCTGTGGTGAGAGGTGTTTGTGGGGAGTGTATCACTATGTGATTTCTCAAGAAGCCAGTGGAGCTCTTGTGGGTTTGTGCCTTGGCCCCTGGAATACTCTATGAGGTAGGAATCCTCTGCCCAGTGAGGTGCACCAGATGGATCATTTCTGCCTACATATATCTGGAGGTATTTGAGCTATTTTTTGCAGACTAAAGATGGGAGAGCTCCTTGCAGAGGGTGAAAATATCAGGAGGTAACTCCAAGAGAGATGAAAATCTCTGGAAATGTGGTGGACCAGTAACAATGTTTTACCTATTGCTTCACTACCTCCCTGTACCCAGGGAGTCCTGTCAACATTCATGGGTATGGATTTTCTGTTATTTAGTGGTCTACTGGTTTATTCTATTTGAGTAGAAAATGAAGATGTGGAGAATTAAGAAATGTTAAAAAGCTGAGACTTCTTACATTGCACAAAACAATCGTGTTTTCAGTCTCTGGAAGTGATTTGCAGTGGGGAAAAAATGAATCACTTTTTCCAGTGGCCCAGTAGGTTGCCCTGAGACATTCCATGTGTTCCAGTTCAGGTGCTCCCGCCTGCAAACGTGTCAGTAAAAGCAACAGAGAACCAAGAGTATGAACTGAGATGGGTAAAACACACTATGGGATACAACTTCATAACACAGAGATATCAAGTTGAATACTGGGAAAACAACCAATATGAAAAGGTAACTTTCACAAAGTGCAGGAGTCCTGGATATTTCTTTGCTAGACAAATGGAACGAAACTTCTTCTTACCTTGTCATTTGTGCTTATTTCCTCTTTCCAGACTCTCCAGAAGTTAAGTATCAGCAATGATGAACCTCCTTTCATCTTCACTCTGCAGATGCTGGCAGCATCTACAGAATACAGGGGGAAAATGCGCGCAAGGGTGAATACACCCCTGGATTATGAGGGGCCTTGGAGTGAATGGAGCGAGGAGTTCACCTGGAAGACTGAGAACGGTACTTTTCATGCAGGCTGCTTTTGTAAGGTTTGCATGGACTGTTAATGGCTGAAATGCCTCTTGAGAAAAATATATGCTCTCAGCTGAGGTTGGAGTGAGGTGCAGCCATGAGTTATCTGGAGTCACTTAAGGCAGCTTCTCTGCCTGCATCCTTGCAGTACATCAATGCCAGTGAATAAGGTGAATGACCTTTTAAGTTTCTTTCATACTTGCCTTCATAAGGTGAGTACAATTAACCATAAAGTTTTCGACATGGAAAATGAAACAGAGATCCTGCCCAAAAGATCATTCTTGTTTCCTGGTTCCAGTAGTCCATTCTGCTGTCAGTGACTGAAGAGCCTGAGACTGAAAGAAGACAGAATATAAGCCATCAGTTTTTTATATTTGCACAGTGACTATAGGGTTGTGTAAAACACACCGTAGGGTATGCTGGAGATAAAACCTTTACATGTTTTTACTGTTTCTTGACTGAGAGGTAGAATATCTGCCCTCATACAGTCTTGTGCCCAAAGTAATATGATCTGACATGATTTGTTCTGAGGAAACTTGTAGCAGTGATACTGTTAGGCAAATTTTGATGAGTATACTCAGGAAGAAATTGGTGTGCTGTTGTTGCTGATAGCAGAGAAAGCTCTTAGAAAATCTCTGAGACCCCATTTCTTCAGAACTGTAGAGTCAGGCAGACCTAAGATGCCTGGAGACATGCCTGTTGTTCGGGATGGACTGAGGTTTCTAACCATCTTCTTAATAGCATGAACTGTTTACTCTGAGGTCAGTCAGATCTAAAAAATGTATCAGTAAAGGTAACAATGAACTCCTTTGGTCAGTTAGCTGTACAGGCCATGTTTGATCTGTCCTGCTTTGGAGGGTATTCCAACAGTTTGAAAGCCTTATGATCCTGTCTCTTGACATAACCCCTGCGTTTTCCTGATCTTCCTGTGTGAAGAGTGACCATAGTGAAAAATCTGTTATGGGAAATGGCCACTCGACAGGTGGATACCTATTTATCTTTTCTCTGTTTCAGTTCTGCCACCAGTGGTTCTCCCAGTGATGCTCCCAGCTCTCATCATCACTTTGCTAATAGTTGCTTGTTGCAGCTATAAATATTTCCTCAGGTAGGTTTGTGTTGCAACTAGGACATTCAGCAGCCTGTTGGCCGAGTGGGTGGCATAAAGGCTAAGGCACTTCTTGTCCCCCATGAGATAGAGGTCTATGTGGAGATGAACCTTGGTGGGCAGCCTTGTCCATGTCTGTGCAAGGGTGAGAGTTGAGTTGGTGCTGTGCCATTGCCTTGGCGGTGCCTCGCTGTGCAGAGCAGCACAGTGTATGGGGTGCAGTCTTTTCTGGTTGCAGTCACAGTGAGAAGCATATCTTGAAAACTCTATGTTGTTGCTGCAGGAAGAAGAAAATGTGGGAGGAAAATATTCCAAACCCCAGAAAGAGTCTCTTGATCCAGAGCTACGTGGGGGTAAGAGGGAACTGTACCTTGAAGGGTTCATTATTTCTCTCTCTTTTTCAGGACTTCCAGAAATCTTAAGAGCCTTTCTTGTTTCTTGGTCCACAATGAATAGTTATCTTCATTAGCTGATGAATTATTTTTAGGAGAAGTGCTGGTCCTACTCAACGTAATAGTGTTCTTATATTTATACCAGCAGACTTCTTTGTGCTGCGCTTGTCAGCACCACTGTGATGTAAAATCAAGCTAGAAAATTTTCAGTACTTTAAAATTTTAACTGACTGAAATAATCCAATGTCATTAGCAAACTTAATTAGCTAATGCTGATCACTGAATATCCAGAAGAAGAGATCAGCACCTCCCTCTTGACTTTCCCTCCTCATAAAGCTATAGAGAGAGGTGAGGTTGCCTGACATGCTCCTTTTCTCCAAAATAGCCTTTTTACCAGCTTTGTTGTCCTCCTCTGGATGCATTTGAGTACCTTAAAATCCTTCTTAAATTGTGGGACCCAGAACTTCACACAGTACTCAAGGTGAGGCCACACTATTGCTAAATACAGCAGGATAATTGCCTCTTTGACTGGCTGATGATGCCATCTTTGAAGACCCCCAGGACAGAGTTTTCCCTCCTGGCTGTCAGGGTGCATACTGATTTGAGCCAGCACCCCCAGCCCTTTCTGCAGGGCTGCTCTCCAGCTACTCCTTTCCTAATTTGTACTTGTACCCAGCATTATGCTGTTCCAGGTGGAGAATCTGGCATTTGGACTTGTTAAATTTCATTCCATTGATGATTGTCCAATGCTCCAATCTATCTAGATCCCTCTACAAAGCCTCTTTTCCCTTGAGAGAGTCAACAGCATCTCCCAGCTTGGGATTGTCAGTAGATTTGCTAATGGTGCCTTCAAATCCTGCATCCAGATCATTGATAAATGTATTGAACTGGCCCTAGAACTGCATTCTGAGGTACACTGCTGGTGACTGATCACCAGCCATATGTAGCCCCATTCACTAAAACCTTTGAGGCCCTGCCCTTCAGCCTGTTTTTCACACAGCACACTGTACCTTTGTCCATGAGGAACGTACAGTTCCTGATTCTGATTCTACGGCCAGTGAGACACTGCTCTTTGGTCATGTCTGCTTTTTCATTTTCAGAAAGCACAGTTGGGAAACTGGCCAACAAGCAACCAGCTGGACTTCAACAAATACAGCCTTTCAGAGAAGACGGAGCAGGCTAGTTTCCTTCAAGTTCTGGACAGGTGAGTGAACAGCACAGTGACACTGTGGATGATAGCCTCTAAGAACTCCCTGCATCATGGCTGGATACAATCAAATGCTCTGTCACTAAAAAGCCTGTACAGGTTGCTTTTGAGGAGGGGATACAATTGTTTATTACCTGGGTTAGACTGCATCTCCAAGAAAACTTTTCTAAGCCTGTGTTTAGCTATGTGTGTTTTCAAATAAGCTTGTTTTATGTTTAATGTTTACCACAATAATCTCTCTCATGAGCAACTTTTAACTTTCCCCCTTTCAGGCAGGCGAAGACTTTGGCAGAGTACCCTGAAGGGCAGACTGAAAAGACAGATGTTTCCCTTGTTGCACCAGACCTACAGAACTCATACCATGCTTTAAATGAGGCAGAGCATGCCCCAGTTTTCTGCTCTAGTCAGATTGCTGGTCATTCCTTTCCTGTTTCAAGGAAAAACAGTGATGACGAAAGTATTGCTCCCCACACAGCAATCCCTTGCTTTGCTTTCAATGGTCCATACTTGTACAATCCAGTGATGTCCTCCCACCCTGACATACATCAGTCCTTGGAACTGGACCAGGTGGGACTCCGTAAGAAATCAGTTTCCCTTCAGTATGTGACTCTCCCAGGGGAAAACTGTCCTCAGGCTCCACAGAGGCAAGAAGAGCCAGGAGCAGGTCCTCCAAAGCCCTACCTACTTACAGATCAGAAGGAAATGATGCAGCACCTCAGTGATAAGGAAGAAGTCTCACCGGCCCCACCAGCCTGTGGGAAAGGCACCAAGATGGAAACAGAAGAAGAGAGCTCTCCAAAAGCTCCCAGCTGTACCACATCTCCTCAGCAGTGTCCCTTGGAGTACTTCACTACAGAGAGCCTGTTACTGCCATCAGCCAGTGCCTCCACCCATCCTCCACTTGTCACTGCTGGGGAATCACCTGGTGGCTCACAGGAGCCCCAGCCCCCCAGTGACCACTCTTACCATGGGAAAACTGGTGTCATGGTCCAAGTTTCAGGTCAGGCACCAACCTCTTCTCCTGAATTGCACCTGGAGAGGTTTGGAGACTATCTTACTGTGCCTTTAGGCCTCAATGGACATTCAGAAGCCACAAAGATTCCTTTGCCTGTCTTACAGAAGGAAAATGGTCTTCCTAGAAAGCAGCCTTTGTCAGAGGGTAACTTAGTGGTGTTGAACCCTGACAGCACTGAGCCAGTTTTCCTTTGCCAGGTTGGTGACTATTGCTTCCACAGCCTAAAACCCAGTGTGAAGATGGATAATGGTCAGGAAGACCACCAAGTCAAGAAACTTTCTGAGGGCAAGACAACACTTGGGAAGCCTGTATCTGATGATGACTCCATCACTGGCAAGGAAAAGGATGTATCAAAAATGCAGGCTATTCAGCTTTTCAAAATCCTGAAATCAGATGACTACTTTTCCTGGCAGCAATCTTTGAGGATTAAAGAAATCTGTTAAATGGGCAAATACTAATCAATACTGAAGAGACTGATAACTGAAAGAGGCTGCAACTGTCTGATGAAAATGAACCTTCAAACCAAGGAACAAATAAACACCAGTTTCATTTTCAAGCTTCCAGTCCAACATGTGGAAAAACCTGAAGTAGCTCAGTATCATTCTCAGTGCTCTTCACACATTTGGCATGAAATACATGTATTTGCCTTTGGTGTTTTTTAAACTTTTTGACTTATCCACAATGAGCAGTTTATCCTCCTTATGATCCTGTGACAGATCACAATCATCTTGCAATTATACCAAATTGCCTGGCAAAACTGATGGCAGGAAATGCAGACTTAACAGAAGAAGACGAGCTTGGACACCTTGGAAAGAAAACTTAGATTCTTAAGAGCAATTTTTTTGAACTTCTGTGTGTTTATAAAATAGATCTAAAAGTCACCAAGGAACTTTCATATCTCTGCCTTTCTACTATGGCATGAAATAGGTATTGTCTAAGGCAAAAAACTCCCCAAAACCAAAAAACAGGATAATTATAGAAGGGTGACTATAAAATGTGAAAAAAAAATGTTGAAGTCCAGGAAAGCTTTCTTAATGTTAATGTGCAGTACATCACAGCAAATGCTAAGGATAAGAAGGTAACGCTAGTGGGATACATAAAGTAGGCTGTAGAGAACCATTTGGAGGAAGAAACATGGCTGAAAGAAAACCCAAGGACTCTTAAGGTTCAGTGAGAGAGAGGGAGTGGGGCAGGTAACAGAAAACAGCATGCAAGAAATGTTGGGAAGCTGCACAAGTTTAAATCTGCTGCAGCTTTTCTATTTATAAGTGTTAAAATACCATAGTATTTTAAGTTAATTGACTGTTTATACATAATATTCTTAATCTTAACTGTGTAATCGATTCTTTGGGGTTTTTTTTCCTGAGTAATAAGATGTGTTGAGAAAGAGGAGACATTTTTTCCCAGTTTTACTGTAAAGAAAGTGGTGTAAGGAAAGAGCCTTTGTTCAGATCCGTGACTTTGTGACCAGCGAGAAGGCTTTGATTTCAGACCTGAAGGTGGACTTGCATTCAAAAAAATTTTCTGTTTTTCAAATATAAAATCTGTACTAATAAAAATATTATTTCTTCATATAAATATTTCCTTTCACATGTTAAAATATTGTGGTTACAATAAAATTACTATTAGTTTGTTTGATCAGGCCTCAAAAAATTCTGTATGTTAGCTATGCCACCTGTGAGGCAGAACACTTTCTCCTGACTTTGCTATATTATTTGACAGAGATAATGATTTCTGTGTTTCTGCCAGCTGATTCCTCCTGTTGAGTTAATGGGACAGCACTGATTCAGAAATTGCAGTGAAATGAATTGTTTTTTGAGGATTTTATTCTCAGAAATACGATTTTAAATCTGAAAGGTGTGCAAATTGAGTTTGGTGTTCTTGACAGCAAAAGATACACAGTTATAACCTCTGATAGAGAATATTGATGACCACTTTGAATGATTTTCAATGTAGACCTTTTGTAATCAATGTATTTTTTTGGCCTTTCTAGAGTGGCACAATTAATTTCTTCCAGGCTGTATGATTGTGCTCTAATTGTGTCCTAAAAGGAGATGTTTAAATTCATATGCAAATTTTGTATCTGGATTCACATCTTAGATATGCATCACTTTCCTGGGCTTTGAATTGCTGGGGCTTGATAATCAAGATTAGTGAGTGGGAGAACTTTTATTCAACTCAGTGGCTTTTGAATGGAGCCCATTTGCATTGTCATCAGCACTCTAAGAGCTCTCTGTTCCTTTTGTCTCTCTGCTCTTCACTGGGCATTTGCAGAGGCTGATTTTGGAGACACGATTTACAGACAGAAGCACATAATATCCACAGAGCGGATATTATCATCTGAAGATCACTTCAGGAGCCTGGAACTTGCAGAGTAACATGCCATTGTCAAACTAGGGGAACTGAGCAGTGGTTTTCTTTGCAACTATAACAATCGGTTTAGGGCAGAATGAATTTCTGCTCTAGGGACTCCTTGTTCAATATCCATTTAAGTATTATTAAATAAAATCTGTAATGAATGTTGGAAGCAGGGCTCATAATCTACAGCTCTGCTGTGCCAGAGGAATACACTTTTTACTGGGTTACTGAATCAAAACTTCCATAAACTTCTTCTGGTGCTGATCCTATGAATCTTCCATGCTCTTCTGCATGAGATCCAGGTGCAGTGCTGGTGGTAAAAAGCATTTTACAATACTGTAACCTGGTGTGGTGATTCAAGACTTAGAAGCTGTCATGAGTCCCAGGTCTTCAACTTCCTGATCATTAACTTAAGCCCCAAAGTTACTGTGCAAAAGCAGGTTGCTGCTACCTTTCCCAGTGCTAGGCACTGATATGCAGGAGAGGAATCATCATTGTGATGATTCAGGAGCCAATTATGACATGCCCCTCTCTCTACAGCTTCTCACTAAGTAGTTCCAGCCCCACAGCCTTTATATCTGTGTGATGAGCCACTGATGTTTCTGATATAGTCAAAAAAAGAGAGGTAAGCATCTCAATACTGTAAATCACATTTTACAGCTCCCTATTTACACTGCAGTGTATATGCAGTTATGAGATTATTGCAACCCTTTCCTCACTGCCCACTCAAGCATAAAAGATTCTGCCCGTGTTTCAACAGCAGACATTTTTCTTTTCATTGCTCTGAAGTAATCACTTTATTATTCCATATCATAATCTTCATCAACCGGAAACATATTACCTGAATTTGCATGAGATTAGGGGAGGAAGTATATTGTGTTCTCAGTGGTTCTAAATAAGGTCAATGCTGAACTGCTCTGTTGTTTTGTTTCTGCTATCTCAGGGTTTGTCTTTTATGTAAGGAAGGAAAATGGAGCTAAATGGTTTGCTAGAAAAAGAAACCTGCAGTGGAAAGCCCTCCAAGACCTCAGGGAATGACAGCTGGAGAATTTCTGAGAACCATAAAATCATAGAATCCTGTACCTCTACAGGGTAATGGAAAACAAACCTAATCGATCCTGCAGTCCTTTTGGTTTCTTGTTCACAAGCACGTTGTACACACAACCTTACTCCCATAGAACTCCACTGAATGATCTCTGCCTCTTCTCCTCACTCTCTGCTTGCTCCCTTCTGCTCTCACTCTGGAGATGAAATTTCCATGAAAAGAAACACAACGTGTCACATTCTCTACATGGGGAATAAGTAACACTTGTGCCTCTTTTGGCCCTTTTTACAAGCCTTTTCAAAGGCCTACCAGGATTCCATATGCTACAATCTGGATCCTAACAACTCCTCATATTACACAATAGATGTTTCACCATGATGTTCAGTGAGTGAGCCCAAGCTCCTCTGCAAACTCACTCAACATGAGCCAGCTTTAATTCAAAATCTCTGCAGATTTGTTTTGTACTTTCCAACTCTTTGATAGAGAAGCATATGGTCCTCCTTCTTGAAGGATAATTTGTTTGTCTAGAGAAGGAGTTCTAAAGCTATCTGAAACAACTGGGTAGGTTTTCCTATTCTCCTTTTCAAAATTTTCCAGCTCCTGGTTCACAGCATGCACATACACTGCAAAGTTTTGAGATGAGTACTTTTTCATCTTCTAAGCTGTTTGTCCTGCAGCATTCAGATGTATATAAGATGTTGACACACATTTTCAAGTTTATTTCATTCACTGCAGGTTCATGAGAGATTCATGGTGTTGTTTCAGCATCTAAAGACACCCTTTTTCTCCCTTCTACTTGCAGCAGAGACTGTAGTATAGGAAGATAAGACTAACACATTAGATCTAAACAATCATTCCATCTAGCCCAGTATTCTGTCTCTGCCAATATTTGCAGTGGATGCTTAAAGCCTGGGTGTAGTAAACATGAAACAGTATCCAGCAAATAATTAAATCCTCAACTGATATATTTACCTGGTATCTGGCCCAGAGCATTCCCAAATTGGAGGTTACATCTAAGGTGTTGTAGACAATATGTGCTCCATGTCTCTTGCCTTTAAAGGTTCAACTAACTCCTTTCTATAACCACTTAATTGTTGGCTTCATAATGTCTGATTGGAAAGTATTACTATATTTGTTTATAAATAAAACCATACAAACGAAAAAATAATGCCCACATTTTCCTGAACTCATTTTGTGCCAATTGCATGGTAAGTAGCTCCTTAGCTTTTGTTCTAGAAGAATTTATAAACCATCATTCCTTATTCACCATCTCGTTTGAGATGCTACAAACTTCTGTCAAATAATTTCTCAGTTGTTTTTTTTCCAAGCTGAAGAATTCCACAGTAATTAGTCTCTCTTCCTGTAGATCATGTAACTCTTCTAACAACTTTGTACCTGTTCTGTTTCTGCACAGTATTCTGCAGTATTCATTCAGATATGAGATAACCAGAACTGAATTCAAGAAAACATGTTGTTTAGACAGCCTGTGATAACTGGACTCTCCCATTATTATTTGTCTGCTCTAACGGGTTCTTAGGTCTTGTTGTATAGTTAGAATTATTTTTTTTCAGTCACGTGAATGTCTGTGTTTCTATATTTCAGTGTGCACTTACAGGCCAGAAAACCAAGAGTATCCTGGGCTGCATCAAAAGCAGTGTGGCCAGAAGGCTGAGGGAGATGATTCTGCACCTCTGCTCTGCTCTCGTAAGACCCCACCTGGAGTGCTGCATCCAGCTCTGGGGTCTCCAGTGCAAGGAAGATGTGGACCTGTTAGAGTGGGACCAGAGGAGGCCATGAAGATGGTCGGAGGGCTGTAGAACCTCTCTTCTGATGACAGGCTGAGAGAGTTGGGGTTATTCAGCCTGGAGAAGGCGGCAGGGTCACGTTATTGTGCTCTTTCAATATATAAAGGCAGTTTATAAGAAAGATAGAGAGAGACATTTTACCAAGGTCTGTAGTGACAGAAAAATGGGCATCAGTTTTAAACTGAAAGAGGATAGATTTAGAAGAAGAAATTTTTTTAAATGAGGCTGGCAAGACACAGAAACTGGTAGCCCAAATAAGTTGTGGATGGCTCTTCAATAGAAGCTTCAAGGCCAAGTTGGATGGGGCTCTGAGATACCTGGTCTAATGGAAGATGTCCCTACCCATGGCAGATAGTTTGGATCCTTCCAACCCAAAGCATTCTATGAACCCCTGGTTCTATGATTCTACTGTCAAATCCCATTTATACCTAATAACTTAGTGTTTTTCCCCCTCATCATTAGAGTTGGAGTAACCCAGATAAAATTTTGCCTTTTCAGTCGCTCAGATCTCTCAGGTAAGAGATTTCTTATCACTCAGTCTTAGAGATAATTTATAATTATGTTGAAGATCATAATTTTCCTGAGAGAAATCACTTAAATCTTTCCTGCAATATGAAAACTAACCATTAATTTTTTCCACTTGTTTTCTCTCTTTAGATGACTTTAATTTCCATGATAACCTTCCTTTTATCTCATTGTTTCTTAGAAATGCATTTTTTAGAGACTTCAAGCTTTTTAGACATCTAGGTATGATGCACTAATTGGATAACCCTGTACCCATTTGCTTCTGGAGTTCTTCCAAGAACTCTACCAGCTTTATAAGCATGACTATTCTCTTTTATAGGGAGATGTTAATTGTTCCCCGGAAGATTTTTCTCTACTATTTTTATTTTTCATTATAGTTTGTGTCACCTATCCTGTACAAAAGTCAGCCTGATTGGTCAGCAGTTGCCTGGATTCTTTTCTGAGTACTCCTCCAAAGCTTTCATTTGGTATTTCTTTTTCTCTGATGTTGAGGCCTGTTAAAGCCTTTGATTATTTATCTCAATTATTTGTTTGGCAACTAACTGTTCAATTTCCTTTACAGATTCATATCAAAAGAAAGCAATTGAGTAAGAATATAGGTTATGCAGGGCTTGTAAAGAAAGTAATTATGTTTTATTAAACAGAAGGATGTAGCTGAAAAAGATCATTATAAGTTATCCTTTTTCTCTATGCGTCTTGCCTCATTTACTTTTTCAGAACATTAAGGATATGATAACCATAATTTCATAGCATGGGTAGACTTATGAAAGGCCTAAGTGCACTTCTAAATTTTTGTATGATTCTTTAAACAGCTTCTTTGTCACTGAAAACATTTGATTCTTTAACAGTTTCTTGGGCTTATTTTATTTTTACCAGTCTTTTCCTAAAAATATTATTGTAGAAAACTTGTGGCTTTCGCTGTTTCAGCTTGTACTACGTCTTGTATATTATTCAGGACTAAATCAGTTTCTTTGCATTCTCATGCGTGCTTTCACAAACAACTGCAAGAAGCAATCATTCACAGTGGCTAAAAAGGTAGACTCTGTGACTAGATCCGTACTAGCAAATAAAGCAGATCAAGGTTCCTTTCTGGCTGTAAGAGCAGTCATGGAAGATTTGTGTATCCAGTCTCTTTCCCCAACAGTAGAAGGCCTTTTCCACACTGCATATTGGAAACTATCCCTTGCTTGCTCTTTGGTGTAGACAAAAGCCGTGTCAAAGTGTTCGCTAGCAGTTGAGTGGAGTCTGTGGTCCCATTCCAGAGCTCTGACCTTTGCCTTGTCCTGGAAAATCTGTGCATTAGTGTTCTACTGAATCTACTCTTTTCATCAACATTCCTTAATGCCTATTAATTTTTTTAAGACATTTGCCAATGATCCTGCCATGTAAAATGTGTTTTAAAAAGCAAATATTTGTATAGACATATTTGGGCATTTGTCTTGATTTGGTTGTACAGTTTTATATGCTCTGCTTACCCAGGTTGTTTTTGTTCTTGTTTCTGTTTTTCTCACCTTCTGTTCTATCCCTTTTTCTGAGTCATAGGCTTTCTGTGGTTTCAGAACACACAAATAGATCAATCTGAACAATTTACT